CAGTAAGTATCAAATTTTTTTTCTCATTTTCCATGCATGCCAATACCTACTAATTTCTAATTGATCAAAAAAATACAAGACAAAGGGTTAAAGCAGGTAAAATAGTGATTTACTATTATACAACTGATTGACTTTTGATATACTATTGATTTACTTCTGATATACTAATGTTGTCAGATATACTCCTGATATATATGTGATATATGTTTGATATATAATAACGAAGCAATAACTGAAAAGGGTAATTTGAGAATACTGAAAATTTTAAAATCAGGATTTAAAAAAAAATGCTATATCTGAAAATATCAAAAAGGCATGTTATTTTGTTAAATATAGAAAACTTATATGCTACCCATTACAAATCCCCATTTTTAATTTGCATGACTGGAAATTGAAGCAATTTTAATAATGGTAAAAGTGATTTTTTCAAATCAAAATCACTCTCAAATACACCCACGTATTTGAGAATAAATTGAAGTTACCAAATAAATTCTAAACTATAAAGATCTGTCAAAATTTACGGCAACTAAGGAAAGATTTTAAAATGAAACAATTGAAAACGACGGGACCATAATGTAAAACCAATCCCATATAATTAAAAGATGATAGCCAACTTGGGAAGGTTTTGAAAATCTTCAGATCCAAATCATTTCAAATTAAATTTATAGTCAAACAATTTGACCCAGCGCAAGGCAGACCAAGCAAGAACAGTCTCCCTCCACCTTCCTCTTTTTTTTTTTTTTTTTTAAATTGTTTTTGGAATTTATATTTATAAAATGAGGAATTTTGAAATTGTGGATGTTTGAGAAAGAACTGAGAAGGCATGTGTTCGCAATTTGAGGTCACCAGCTGTGGTGAGCGTGCAGACACGAACCCCTTTGGCTTTGGCTTTCAGATACGTCCTTTCCCACGCATTTGTCTCTCTCAATTCGCCTAATCATACTTTAAAAAAAAATTAAATAATGTTTTTAATACCTTTTCTGTCTCCTGAAAATGTTAACAAACATTTTATATGTTTCGTTTCTTTAATCACATTTCATTATTAAAGTCGTCTGTTGCGTCCACTTCTTCAGATTTTTCTGTTAGTTTAAATGTCAAAATTATATTTTAATAAGTTTGTTGTTTATGTATCGGTCTTTTTTTAAAAAAAAGTTTATCGAAATGTTGAATTTAGTTGACAATATTGTAAATTTGGTTTTATTATGGAAATAGCCCAAAATACGGTTAAAAAAGTTGGATCCAAACCCATTTGAAGTTTTCTGGGCCGGTCCAGAAAGTTTGCCGCTTTTGGAGACTGGGCCGAAAGCGAGATTAGATGCAATTTGCAATTTTTTTAATTAGAAATAAAATAAAATAATAATAGATAAATCTTATTATTATTATTATTATTTTTCATTAAAAGTCAGAAGGGAAGAGACCAAGAGCTGCTGATTCGAACTTAACCCTTTCTCTTTCGAGTACAGGAGAGTCTCGATTAAATAAATGAATGACAAGAGATGAACAGAAAAAAAAAAATAACAAAGTGAAAATTTGAATTAATGGAAGAAAAAGAGTTTTACAGACTTGAAGCAAATAAAATAAATTTATGGAAACTGAAATGATAAACAGAGAGCTAAAATTTAATGATCGAGGATTTGAAGGGATTCCAGCTTAATTTAGTCTCTTTTTTCTATTTCGGTAGAAAAATAAGAATTTTTTTCTAAGTACTTTGTACAAAAATGCAGTGATATGCTAACTCATGTTCAAGTGAAGTATGTGCTCATGAATATGCACATGTTCAACTCAAATAAGTTCATTAGGAACATTTACTTGCTAAACTAAGTACAAATTAACTTGAATCAACCTAGCTAATTCTATCCTTGAAATTAAGGGGTTATCGACGATGATCATATTTTACAAATTAACATGTATGTTAATGGAGTCTATTATCCACCCACTGATACTTGGGCTAATCCTATATCTGATCTTCAAGGTTGGAGAGAGGAAAAAGAAAACACCCATGTAATTTTAAGATATGATTAGCACAAAACTCATCACTTAATTTAAAGGGCCTAGTTATCATTATAATTTGCAAAATTCTGAATCATTAAATCTAAGATTGTGCTTTAAAATATTAAAACACAATAATTTAAAGGTATGTTTTAAAGTTATATAATAAAAAGTAAAAGAGAAAAGGTTTAATGATCATATTTTAAAAATATTACCATCATATATGGAAATAATAATTTATTAATTTAAAGGTCAACAAATTAAAAGGTTGTGAGTTCTATCCCTTGTTGTCCTAGAAGAAAGAAAAAAGAAATTAGGGCTTGAGCCCACTACTAATATTTATTAAAGCTTTTCTATGATTTATTCAATTTAAAAAAAAAGTAAAATGTAAGAATAAAGATCAAACATTCAATTTAAGAGAGGTATAAGTGTTTTAATGACTAGAATTATAATCAAGTTGGTAAATAACCCTACCAAAATATTTAAGTTGAAGAACATATTGTTGGTGTGGTTTTAATTTTAAGAAATTAGTGTATAATGATCACTTTATAAATTAACATGTATGTTAGTGGAGTCTAGTATCCACCCATTAATATTTGAGAGAGATTCACCCATGTAATTTTAACATATGATTATCACAAAAGTGATGACTTAATTTAAAGGGTCTAGTTATCATCACAATTTGCAAAATTATGAATGATTAAATTTAGGACTGTGCTTTAAAATATTGTTTTAGTATTTATATGTGAAACACAATAATTTAAAGGTGTGTTTTAAAGTTATAATTAAAAGTAAAAGATAAAAGTTTAATGATCATATTTTTAAAATACTACAACCAGGTATTAAAATAATAATTTATTAATTTAAAGTGTTTTAACATAGTAGTTGACTTAAAAATCATAATAGAGGTGGATTTTAAAATACAAACCTAATTGGTTCCCCATACACTTTTTTTTATCTTTTGAAAGTCAAACATTTATTTACATCCCATTGCATAGAATCTTCATGGTATCACTTACCATGAAATGTTTGAACCGCTCGTTTCAGAGCTCAAATTATAAGAACCTAACGTCTAACGGCATCAATTAAAAAAAAATTGAAATTTTATAAAACAAACAAATAAAAAAGTGAACTAATACCTTTTCATTTTCCTCTTTCCCTAATGCTATAATCTATTTGTCCATGTCTTCTAGTTCTTATAAGCACAGTATATACTCGCCAATATAATTTAATGGCCGCTAAGATTAGTCAACATTTTTCTCAATAGCTACTCTTAGTTATTCTATGGTACCACGGATATAGGTTGATAGGAACAATACACACTAGACAAATATAAATGATATTAAGCTATAAGAATTTTTGGATGAAGTTGTGGCCAAATTTGATGGAAAAATTGCAAAATTAAAATAAAATTGAATGAATTGCCTAAATTAAAATTAACGTTGAAAAATCAAATCGAGCATAACTCAAAACACCTATCTCTAACCAGAAGATAATGAGTTCTGGCTAAAAAATCAAAAGTTCATACCTCACTACAAAAAGAAATAGTTGAAAATATAGGCCCAAAATCATATTGAATCGAATGGCAAACACCTCCACTCCCTTTATTGATATTTACCTACCCAATTAGTTGATATATAACTATATTTTTTATTTCTTTTGAAAAAGTAAATACAACGGATATATAGTTAAACTTCTTTTTTAAATAAAGTTAGATCATAAATGAGTTGAAAATCATTGTCCTAGACAAATTCAAATATATTTTTATATACTCATTCATGTAATGACAAGAATTTTAAAATTTTAAAATTAATTATTATATTAAAAATTTAGAGTCCGGATTATTAAAAGATATATGTAAATCAAAATGTAACATGAAAAGTAAGAGAATAAAAATATGTTTTACCCTAACAAAATTCTAGAGAGACAAATTCTAAATTTACATTTCGTACCGACAAAGTAAATAGAAAACAAAAAACACTGTACAGACAAAAAAAAAAACCTCGAGATTCCAATTTTATGTTCGAGAAATTACCAAAAAGAAAAATTTTTGATAAAAATAATGAATAAATTGATGTCAAGCAAAAGAAAGGTTGGCTTTCAATCATCAAATATCATTCAGATTCCACATTCTCACCATCTCCGAACTGCTCTATTCTGTTTTCGCCGCCGTCATCGGCCTCCAGATCGTCGTCCTCGATCAGCCACCGATCGAACGGCGCACATTCGGTCTTGTGCCGCAGTTTCCAGTCCAGAGCTTGACACCCTCGAGAGCAATAGTTTACGTTACCGCAGACGGAACACCGCCGGAATTCATGGAGCCGAGTCTCGGGTCTTCCACAACCACCGTTCGAACAGAGCCTTAGCCCCTGAGCGACGACCCCACGGCCCGACGCGAACCAATCCCTTAAAAATTGGTTCGCCGGGTGTGCCTCCGGCGCCGGAATGTTACAGCCGGACGCGGATGGGTGGTCTCCGGCGCAGGTAGGTCGCCGGATGGAAGAGTTTGAAATGGACGCGAGTTCACGCGCGTTGGCTTCGATTAGGAGACGACGCCCCTCGGCTGCGTTTTGGGCCACGCCGTAACCGTCTTGAAGGCAGTGGCCGAGCTCACGAAGCGCGTCGATATGGCCGAGATAAGCGGCTCGCCCGCACAGAGCCACGCCGGCACGAAGATTCTTGTCGCTCTTTGAGCCACCGCTTCCGTTAAATTGTACGATGGCGAGCGAGTAAAGCGCCAACGGATGAGATTTAATCGCGGCCTTCGCCATTAGCGAAGCTCCACTTCCTCTGTTCTTCAAACAATAAAACTCGATCTGAAAACAAAAAAAAAAAAAACCCTAAAAAATGAAAAATGACCTAAGTTCGAAATTGCAGAGGAAAATTAATTAATTAAACGGACCATTCCGAGAGTGTAGCAGGCTTCGACGCTCCCGGCGACGACGCACTGTCTGAGAAATCTATGAGTCGATTCGGACCAATATTCGATTCTGAAATCAAATGCTTTAGGTCCAGCTTTCGAAAGCACCAGCGGATGCAGAGCCAAGCGATTGAACCTTCTACAACTGTTTCGCCCCCAAATTTCACATCAACATCATAATAAAATTACACGAGACTGAGGGAAAAAAAAGAAGAAAAAAGACGAATTGCACGGCGATTCTTACGTTATCATAACGTTGACGAGGTCGGAAGGAGAAGAAGCGGTGGAGGTAAGCTTGCCGAGGACGACGACGACTAGATCGTCCGGCAAACCGTCGAAGAGATCAGAAATTCCGGCGCCGGGACTGGCCGCCGTCGTTGTTTTCCTCCTTTTATTGCACAACATTCTTCCGGCATGAACAGAGAGAGCGCTGCTCTTCGTCTGGTTTTATCTTGAAATGGAAATCGCCATGGAAAGGACTTCAAAGAATTGAGATTCGATTATGGAGGACGAACGAATCCAAAATTGGATTGTTTGTCGTAGCGAGTCTGTAGTGAAGGGGCGAAACGGATGGACGGAGTAGGTTGAATTTATATCTCTGAGCGATGCAGAAACAGTCGAAAACAGATTGGATGGGTCCCACATGATAAAACAAGCTTTTAATTATTCGACTTAGTAACACCTTAATCATATTTAATCTGACCAAGTAAAACTCCAATCTCATTTTTCAATTAAAAAAAAAGAAAAACAAAACAAAACACAAAAAGAGAAAAAACTTGCAAGCTACTCACCCGTTTACTATTTTAATTAATTTCTTTAAAAAATGAGAACATAAATCTGTGATTTATTTCTTTCCAAAATTACTTGTATACTTTATAGGAGCCTATGACCCGTCTTCCTTGCAAATTATTTCAAACTATTATTGGGCTGTAACCTACAAGCTAGTTTGTTTAATAATTTAAATGAAATTAATCGTTGAGGCATGATTCTGGAGTCAATTTTTCTTACCTCAAATTTGAGGTGATGGTGACTTGATTGAGGTTGTTTTCTGCACGGAGAACTTGTATAAGTGGGTGTGGTATACGTCAATGCTTAAGTTAGTATTTAGATCGATGTAATATCAATATTGTACTAAAGTTATGTTGTAGATGTGTTCCTCAGCGGGTTCTACTATTTATAGGGATATGTGGGGGTGTGACTTGTGATCATCATAGTTCGGCACCCTTCTCCAAGTCGAGGTGGGGTGTGCATCATCACGTACATGATTTTGAGCCGAAATGTTTGATTAGTATTCATTAGTCCCGAACGGTGGTATCCATGAGACTAACCATCTTTTGGGTATATGGAAACTTGACACTATCCATGTAGTGAGGTTATTTACTCCCCTTTAACATTAATATACAACTTCATATTTTAGTCTTTTATTGTAATTGAAAATTTCTTTTTCTTAAATCACTCTGGGATGATTTTCTTTTAAAAAGATTGAGCTTTGAAGTTAAAATAAGTAAATAAAAGAAAGGATTATATAATTAGCAAGTTTTCAATGAAATAAAACACATGTTTAGTCAAAGATAAAAGATGTAAGTTCGAAGGGAACATAATATAATAGAAGTAGTAATGATATTTAACCATAAGAGTGGAAGACGTAAAGTCTGTTTACACGTTTAAATGCCAAGAAAGACAAAAATCCAGCAGCGGTACATTAAAAAATTGGATTATAATTAAAAGATTTTTTTTTTCTTTTTAGCCACTGATTCATGTACCAACCAAAGAAACAAGAGATGTATATTGATTCAAATTTCAACCATTCAAAGGATTAGAGTGCATGCACCCATATAAGATATTATTAACATAATTATATTATATGTGGGACTCCAATCTCTAAATCTATGGTAGATTTTTTTTCCTATGAGAACGGAGTTTCGAATCTACAATTTTTTTAGTTGAGGTCAAAATCAATTGAGTTAAAATTCAAAGCACACAGTTGATAGATATATAAACGGCTTGCGTCTCCTCCAATAAATTGACTTAAAAATTAAACATAATATGAAAAGGAAAATACCGATATTTCTGTGGGCAAGGAAAGAAAGAAATGTCATGATACACGTGACCTTGAGTGCCTAATTTTTAATTTTCTATTGGTAGTAGTGGTCTGACTCAACAAAAAAAATATCCCCTCTCTCTCTCTCTACGGGTTATTAACTATTGATTGTGATGGCTGGCAAATAATTTAACATCATAGGATGGTTGTCAGACACTGATTTGTTTATTTCTTTTAATACAATAATAGAAATAAGAATTCGAAACTCACAAGTACGTTAGAGATATATACTTTAGTAAGTTGAATTGTGAGAAAAAAAATGATTGACTTGAATAAGAGCTGTGGCAATATAAATAACTCGCTTCGAGGGAAGAGTAGATGATAATATTTTGTTTAAAGAGAATGTTCGTTGGAGGTAAAAATATTGTGCATATTAGTGAAGAGCAAAGAAGATTTTATGGTGATATTATCGTTATTAATATTGGATGAAAAAAAAAACACATCGTCTTGAATCTGAAGTGGAAAAAACTTAATTTTGACCTAACAATTATAATCATATTTATAATTGCTAGTGTGTTTCTATAGTTATATATTTATTATAACAAAAATGTTTTTCAGATAACAAAAGAAATTTGAATTTCATTATAGAAAAAATTTCAACTCTTGAGACAATACAATATTATATATTTACTAACAAGTTATCTAACTATAACACAGTATATTAGTAAATATATCAAAATCAAGACACGTAAAATTAAGTAGGGTTGATAGTATAGATATTTGGGTTAGTGATCAATTTATCGATAAATTACTAGCACATAAAATAAAAACATACTAAGAAATATTTTATAAAATGGAGCTATCGTCCCATCCAAAATTTCATAGAATCCTATGGGTTTTAGGCTAAAAAATGAAAATACTATATAAACGCTGGTGTATGTGTGGATGTAAATATAAGGTTTAGATAAATGATCAAAGGAATAGTTATTAAATATAAGGTAACTTTAGTTAGACATGATTTAGACATTAAATTGACCCCAACTTTTAGCAAGTTGGGAGCACACAAGTTGCAGAATAATACATGGACACATATACCAACAAATAAAGCAAAAGAGTTTTTGTTTCAAAAAAAAAAAAAAAAGCAAAAGAGTTTTGCAAATTAAGTTAAAAACCAAAAGAAAAGCTAGAAAAGGAAGAAAACCAAATGGGAGATATTTCTCTGAAACGTAGGGACATCATTATTATTTATTATTATCATTATTATTCTTCAATTTTAAAAGAACCATCCGATAAACTCAGACCTTCAGCTACCCAATTTTGTCCAATGAGATGAAGGATTGGAATTTTGGAGCTCTAGCTCGACACTGAAACATCCATCTCTCTCTCTCCTTTTTCCCTCTCTATTCAATGGATAAGGTTCTTGAAAAAATATGTGGGGGTTGGTGGCTCATTCCCATCCTCTTGATAATTTGTTTTCCCAATATCCACGCAAAAAAAAGTGATTCGAATCTCTCCATTCTTGTTAAAAAAAATGTTACCAAATAAGTCATTGGTATATATTGTTACTTGTTTCTAATTTTAAATATAAATATAATTATTTGATAACTGTTTATATTTATTGTTTCTCAATTCAAAGAACGTTTATATAATTGTATAGAAAATTTGAAAACAAATATAAACCAAGTTTCTTCTTCCTATTTCTAAAAACATTTCTTTTATATTTTTTACTTACAAAATGCATAACAAATATAAATATAATGTAAATATTTTAAATATTTTATTTTCATATAAAATTTTTATTTTTTTAATTTAAAAATTTAGAAAACAAAAGTTACCAAAACATATTTTTGCTTTTTTTTATTAATTAATAGAAAATAAAGATAAATCAGAAGGAAATAAGAAACAAGATAGTTAGATATTAGAAACAAAACATGATTATAATTGATATTAATGTTGATTGTTGCGTGTTAATTACTTAATCTAATGTAATCACATAAGAGACTTTTTAGCGCTACTAGAAAAAGAGACTTTTAGGGTTTCGTCTGGAGCTATCTATAATTTATAAGTAATATTCCCTTGGAATTGCATATTTATACAATATATTCAACCATGACATCAACTCTATATTTTATTTTTATTTCTTCAATAATTGACAGAATGAATATAATATTTGAACTACTATGTAAGAGCTATCTATGATATTTACGTTAAAGGTTCTTTTTGTACACACACATATATATATTGTTTCCCTCTTTCAGATAATTAAGATGTTTAAATCATTATATGAATTTAAGTTATTAATTGTTTATATGATGAGCCCCGTATAAAAATATAGTTCGATCGTGTAGGACACTTATCTCCATAAAAAATGTAAGAGTTCGAATTCTTACTTCTACATGTTGTACTACGATAATATTTTTGTTTTTTTTTTTCTTATATGCACTATATTTTGTTCTTAATTTTTTTTTTCGTTTTATTAACAATTTTTTTTATACAGTAGAATATGGTGGAGTTTTTATATTAGGAAAGAAAAATAAGCTATCCAAACCAACTCCATGAAATTCAGGCTCTAGTTTGAACCTTCATTGGTTGGTTTAGGGAATTTGGTAAATTTGAAATGAAGCAAAGAATAAAAAATTAAATGTGAACGAAGAAGGCACGAGAATTGATACGCACGAAAATCATTTGACCCATGCTCCCCCTCTCCTAAAGAATTTATTATTATTATTATTATTATTATTATTATTATTATCATCATCATTATTTAGTTTTGCCCCTAAAAAGAATTCCTCTCTCCATCCCTAACATATCTTTTAGGGAAGGTTTGACCCACAATTTTGATAAATTTATATTTATGTAATTTAAAATCGAAAAGTCTTAAGTTTTCCTTAAAAAAAAAATGTATATAGAAGTTTAATTAGTTAACTTATTTGATTTGTGAGTTTATACTTTTAAAAAAATAAATATGTTGTCTACAAAGCGAGTTTTTGATAACTTGGATTTGGGGAGTTCATGGTCTAAGATAAATAAATTTAGGTGCTAAAACATAAATTTGAAATGAAATAAATAAAAGGTTAAATATATATATATATATATATATATATATATGTTGTAAGTCCCTTTAATTAATTACTTTCCATCGTTAAAAAAGTTTCTATGTAAAAAATTTTTAATTATACTTTTTCGTTAGTGGATGTTAGAATTGACTAATAATAAAGTTTATACTTGATGAGTTGGTGAAAATTTAAAAGAGAAATTTATGTCATTCAAGAGCGAAAGTCGTTTTTAAGAACTTGGTAGAGAAATTTCAAAATTTTCTTTCCTAGGTAGCCTAGATCTCAGGTAAAAGCCTGCTACCATCTACAAATTTCAACATTCACCCATGAAATGATGTTAGTTAAAAAATATCAATATATTTTTTCTAACTAGCCACAATATCATTCTTGTTGTTTACCACTAACTTTTTGGTACATATAAAAATTCTTTCTCTGATCATCTCTCTTATTTGTCAAAAAATAAATAATGTGTGAC